AGGAATTGATCACAGAACCATCCTATGCCAACAAGCACACTTGAATTTGCCACTGCAGGACCCTGACTCTAGAGGGTAAAAAATATCAAGCTGTGAGGACCCAGGAGAAAGAAGAGCATATACCTCTCCAAAAACTTTTTGAAATAAACTGAAAAACACAGCAGTGGTGAACTATGGCCTGTGCTCTTTCCACCATCTTATAGACAGCTGACCAAACAAATCAAGAACTCATTGCAACAGATCAGTCCCTTTTCCAATGAGGCTCTGTACTCTTTTTATTTAAAAGACTCACTCATCTTTTTGGCATTGGAAACTACTGGATAGGGACTGCTTTTCCTAGATTAAACATCTGGAGCAACACTGCCCAACCTTCTACAGTGATGAAAATTTTGGAAATGATGGGAAACCTGTCCTGTTCAATATATTAGCCACCAGAATTCTCCCATGTGGATGTGGCTACAGAGTCTTTGAAATGTGGCTAATGCAACCAAGGAATTGAAATTTTATTTAATTTCAAATTATTCAAATTTAAGCAATCACTATGGCCAGTGGTCATCATATTGGTCAGCACAATTAGAAATGAGTCCTCAATCCTTCACACTAATTATTTCTAAGTTATTCTTTAAAGCTTCACTCTTAGTATTTCTTAGAGTTTTAAGTTTTGTTTTACTGATATGGTATGGCATTGGGGGGCCAATAAGCTTTGCCTTAAGCAATTATTGTTGGCCTCTAATTTTATAATTGACATTATTTCTTACCACAAACATTAACTTTTGCCTTCTTGAATCATGCAGCAGTGGTCACAATTTTATTCAAATATATTGGTGGAATAGAGGAATAAGGGAAAGAAAAAGTGGAGGAAGAGAATTGGGCAGGTATGAATGAAACTAGTTTTGCCTGGGCTTATTCTGTCCCAGTACATATTTCTTACAATATAGCCCTACTCAAAAGGGAAAACCAAGAAATAGATGTGTGTATTTTGAAGATAACACTGAAATTGAAAACACACAATCGAGATCATTCTGACTTCTGTGAGGAGAGATAACACTGGTTAATTCTCCACAAGTAGGTGCAGGTGCTATGGCAGAATTTGGCTTAAGATACAGGAGCACAAAGGTGGCTAAGAAAACTTAACACTACTTGGGAGTTCAGAAAGGATTCTCAGGAGAGGTATAACTTGAGCCTGGTAGTACGAGGTGAGTAGGTGTGATCCAAGTGGACATTGTGGAGGGGATACAATCAGGCAGGTGAGGGTGAGCAGCAATCGAGGCTTAGAACAAAACAGAGAGCACAGGGGTAATAGGGAGTCATGCAAAGTCTAAAGTGGCATCCAGTAAGGCCCAAAGGGCCAGAGCAGAGTCTAGTCTTGGAGGCCTGTGTGTCTTATCCAGGCACCTGAACTTCGTGCCAAAGACAATGGGGAACCATAGAAGAGGAATGGCATGCCCAGATTTTCCTTGGAAAATTTAATCAGGTATTGAGAATGGAGTTGAAAGGAGGAAAATGGGAAGAAACAAGACTGTTTAGAGAACCAGAGGTGTGAGCAAAAGGAATGAAGTCGGGTTGTGGCTTTCCATTCCTGGTCCAAGGATGGTGCATTCCAATGAACACAAAGGAGTTTACCTTTGTCTACAGCAAAATGATGATATTGTCCACAAAGCCAAGAGGGAAGAAGGTTTAAAGAGGAAGAAGGTAGTGGTCAACAGTGGCCAAGTCCCAAGCTGCTCAAGGCAATGAGGTCTGAAAGAGCCCCGGGGGTCCTTCTTGACAGTTCAGACTCGACAAGGGCGAGCTCATTTCTTCAACTGAGGGCAGGAAGGGAGAGTGTACAGAAGGGTGTACAGGAAGCTGCAGGAGGTTGCATTTGGCTCCCTTTTTTCTTTTGAAAAGAAAAGAAAAAGGCAACTGTTGAAGGAAGAGGTGTGGAAGAAGGAGCTTGGGGAGGTGATGAAGGCTTAGGATGGCCTTAGAGTACTGGAGGGGGGGCGGGGAGGGGGGCAAAACTGCCCAGAGCCCAGTGAGGCAGTGGCTGAGATGTACTGGGGACCTTCAAAGCTGTGAATGGGACTGGATTCAGTGGTCATTAACCTCTCCTCCATCTCTTTGACCTTTATTTTGTGGTAAAGAGTTCCTTAGAACAGTGGTTCTCAGTCTCAATTGCTCAGTGGAATCACTGTTAAGTACCACACCCCACCAAAGACTCTGATTGGATTGGTTGGGGTGACTTTTTGAAGATTCACACGTGATTCTGTTACGGGCCAGGCTAGATGGACAATGACCGAACAGACTCCATTTTACCCTGAGACTCCATAAGCCCCACCTCTGTACCCATTAATAGTTACCTAGCATAACATACTTGGCAACACAAAATAGCAATTCTTATACAATGTAAAATTGTTCTCTTTGCTTTCCATTTTTCTTGGGCAAAGTACCTTATCAGAGATTGACTGTCTAGACGTTAGTAACCGTCCTCTAACTTGTACTCAACTAGGGTCACTTTGACCCACTTCCCTTCTGCTTGCTTGCTGCTATGCCAATCTGGAAAGTCCTGTGGGAAATACCAATGTACCCATTGCATTGTCTCGGTAACTGCCCAATTCAGCTTCTGTACCTGCTTGCTTACAGCTACGTCAAACCCAAGTGTAGTTTTTGCCTTTAAAAACCCTAAAATGCTCAGGCTTGGGGCTGTTCCTTGCAGAAACACTGTGGGTCCTGTGGGAAGCAGTTGCCAGCTGGCCAGCTAAATAAAGACTAATTGGGACTTGGTGTGTTTTCTGAGCGACCTGCCCCACAACAATTCTACTGTATAGTCAAGGCTGGAAAGCATTGCTGTTATAAAAATCAACTGAGGATATTCTGTACTGAAAACATGATAATCAACAAGTTGCCCTATGCTTAATTTTTAGCCTAAGGAAGGGAATGTTACTGTACCTTCCAAGAGGGCCTATGGTTTTGTTATTTCCTTTGGATGTGTATTTGCTCTTTGCTTTGTTTTGGTATCTGGAATTGACCTAGAGGTGCTTAATTACTAAGCCACATTTCCAGTCCTATATTTTTATAATGAGACAAGGTTTGCTAAGTTGCTTAGGACCTCACTAAGTTGCTAAGGCTGGTCTTGAACTTGCAATCCTCCACCTCAGTCTCCTGAGTCATTAGGATTACAGGCATGCGCCACTGCACCCAGCTGCTTTAGATTCTAAGCGGTAGTATATATCATGGGCATCTTAATAGCTAACTTGTATACTTACTATCTGGCAAACACAGATTATCAAGTTTTACTCTCAAAACAACTCTAGGACATAGATACTCCTATAATTCCTGCTTTACAGAACAGAAAACTGAGCCACAGTGAAATTAAATAGTTCCCATAGCCACCCAGCCAAAAGCCCTCAGATGGGGAATCATGTGGGCACATTCAAAACCTCTAAGGAAAGTATTTTTACTTTATCTAAGCAGGACCAACCACACCACTCACTAATAAACTCTTTCAGCTGTCTTAGATGACATTCAAAAACATCACAGTCAAGTTCCCCAGTATCTTGTTGATCACATATAAGAAAGAACTTATTATCTGCATAACTACAGACTGCAATTCAAAACTGATGCTGCATCTGTTTTAGATGGATCCAAAATGTTCCTTAAGCTTGGTCAGAACACATGGGACATCTGGTCACTCACAAAGCAGCCTGTCTATAAGCAGTAGTTATTCTTCACTTCTCACTTCTGCAATAGATATTTGCATCTCTGCCACGCAGGGCAGACACTTACTTGGTGGGTGTGCCTCCATTACATGCGCTGAAATGGCTTTCTTTCAACTCCAGCTCTACAGCTCAGTGAAATTTAGCCTTTTTCTGTTTACTTAAAGTAATCCCTTTAGCCTGCATACATGAATTTTTGCATTTGTAAGGAAGATGTTATAAAAAGTCAACACTTGCATGCTAACATAATACACAGGGATGTTTTAAGAAATAAAGATTGAAAAAAGTGAAGCCAATTCAGGGAGCAAGAAGGTAGCTTGTTTTTTACTGTAGGCAGTGCCTGAATTTATTTCTTTTCTAGTTTCTGGTTGTACTGGTGTTTCTTGTTCATTTTCTTCAGTGTCAAATTTGTTATTTTCACAATTTTCAAGAGCCTCTAGCTGAGTTATAGATGAGATCATGCCTTTTCTCTTTTCTTCTAGGAAAAAAAAAGTCTGTTGCTTCAAGTGCTTCTAAATCATAAGCAAAGCCAGACATGCCAAAGTGGCACTTGGACCCCCTGTACAGAAACAATCCTTGTCAAATTGCACAGCCAGCCACAAGAACTGAGAGGTTCTTGTGTAGCAAATGATGTGGCCACACTCAACAAACTTTAGGTTTGGGCATTTCCTGAGCAATTTCATTATTGTATTCACTGTTTTCTTAGGTTTATAGACATGTTTGGACAAGCATCAAAATGATGTGTCTAGCATTTTTAATTTCACCTCTGAGACATGGAATTAGATGATGTGATGATATGGTGGAACAGAGTTTTTTTTTTTTTTGCTTCCCAACACTCATGTGCTCTTTGAATTTTTTTATGTTGGTCCTCAATCAGTCTTATGACTGAAAGACTGAACATCAGAAAAGAAAAACTAAACTGTATCAGGGCTGTCAAGCCCAGGAGCATCCCAATGTCAGTGGTTTGGGTCAAATCAAGGACTGACTGGTATTGCCTATGACCTTTCTCTAGGCTAGAGACAGTCTCCTGGTGCAGATGTAGGGGACAACCATAGCTTGGCCTTAAGCCTATCTCTTTTTTTTTTTTTTTTTTTTTTTGTACCTGTAATTGAACTCAGGGGCGCTTAACCATTGAGCCACATCTCCAGCCCTTTTTATACTTTATTTTGAGACAGAGTCTCACTAAGTTGCTTAGGGCTTCTCTATGTTGCCAACACTGGTTTGAAGCCATGATCTTTCTGCCTCAACCTCCCAAACCACTGCGATGATAGGCATGTGTCACCTTGCCCARCACTGACCTACCTCTTGACAGGCCTGACTGCATACAGCAGAGTGTCCCCACGGTTTGGGCCCCTGCATTCTTCAGTGAGCTCTGGGGGTGGATACTGGTTTGTTCCACCTGAAAGTAAAATTTAAAAAAAATAATAAAAATAAAACATAGAATTATATAAACATAAAAAAGAAAATAAATATAAAAAATTCTCTATCAAAACACAAAATTCCAAAGATAAAATCAAATGAAACATAAAATAAAGTAAAATATAAAGTGGAACAAAATAAAATAGGTATAAAAACAAAAGCAAATAGAACATTTAGAACAAAATAAAATCCATGAAGACATAAAGTCAAAAAGATGTAAGAGGGATGCAAATGAAGCATGAGACAAATATAAAAGTAAACAGAAATAAAACAATAAAAATAAAATACATAGCAAACAAAATAAAAGCATAGAATGCCTCCAATCTCATAAATAATATAAGATCACAACATAAAAGAATACAATCTAATATAATAAAACATAAAAAATAAGATAAAACGAAATTAAAACAAGATGAGAAAAATGATTCTTTCAGCCTGCTTCTCCCTCAAAGAATCACTAAACCATAAGCCAACTATTAACATTCTCTCCACCACTCCCTGCAAAGATAAGGAATCTAAGGTGCAGACAGCAGAGTGGTTCATTGACTTTTCTAGGATCACAGAACTCAACTAATAGCAGAGCTAGGACTAGAACTAATTCATTGATTTTTTTTTTTTTTGCACCTCTCAAATTGGAGAGGCACAAATGCCATGTCTGTACTTCTAAAATGTCCATCAAACTCCCTTTATTCCTTCAGTGATGAAGGAGCTGATGTCCCTTACAGCCCCCAGTGAGACGTCACACTTGCTTATAAACTGAGAAACTCACGTCTCCCAGGAAGTGGGGCAAGAGGTCCTCACATTTTACAATGAAGCACCTGCACATGAGTTGTTTTGAATCATGCACTGGAAGACCAAGAACAAAAAACACCTGGAAATATGACCAGGACTGCCGGGCTGCACATAAACCTATCAGGAAGGTGCCATGGGCATCTACCTGCCCAAATGCCAGGTTTTATAAGTACCTCTCCCGCACCCACCTAATATATCCAGGATTCAGGGAATGCTCACTTTTTAGGAGGTTCAGGAAGGCCCGTGTGAATCCCCTGGCGTAGGCTACCTCTGGTTCTGAAACTCCCTCCAAGCGCAGCAGGTGCTGCTCAGAGGGGGCGCTGGCCACATGGGACAGCTCCACCAGCTCATGAGCCCCCACACCAGGGCCCAAGGCCAACACAAACAGGGTGATGCCCATGCACTTGGCTTCTTGGGACAAAGTCCTTAGCTTCTCCCTGTCCCAGTTGCTTGTCTCGCTGGCCACGATGGTGAAGAGGACGCGCGCCCTCCTCGGCAGCGGGGCCACCAGGAGCACTTTCTCCAGCGTCCATTCTAGAGCGTGGCCCAAGGCAGGGAGTCCCTGCAGCAAGCGGCCCGCGGCCTCCTGGACCTGTCTCTGCATCTGTGTCCGGTGGCCATAGGAGGTCAGGTTGAAGCCCTCAAGCACAGGGGATCGACCCATGCCAGGCCTGAAGCCTGGAGTAGTGTGTGTCACTAGAGCCACACGCGCCCCCTGAAGGGACACGCTCGGCTGAGCAGCCACCTCCAGATCTTCAAGCACAGCGTCCACGAGATGCAAAGCCCCACGGTATATGTCAATTTCCACATCTTGGGAGCTGTCCACCACGAACACCAAGTCCATTTCCACTGCCTGGGGCCCAGGCCCTCCTGGCCCACATTCTGGGTCTGGCTGGCACTTGTCTGGAAAGGAAGTGCAGGGAAAGGCTGAGGTTAAACCATGCATCCTTTTCTTTTCCAATGCATACCTTGTTGTATCCTTAACAAGGACATCTGCTGCTGAGCTATTAGCCCCACATTGGACTGACATGGCAACTGTATGACCCATTATTCAGAAGAAAGAATGGAGGCTGGTTGCATATTTAGTGTGTTCAACCAGTAGGCCCTCTTGCTTCTTAATCTCTGGGCTCACAGATATCATTCCCCTTTTCCCCTATATAAAAAAGAATTATAGGTGAATTGTTTATTGACTTAATCAGCAGTAATGCTGTTTGAGAAACTACCTGCAAAACACTGATTACTAGAGCTGGGAGTAGCCTGAACAGCTCTATGAGATTGCCATTTTTACATGTTAAAAAAATCAAATATAGGCAATTTTAAATGACATGATCATAGTTCTCAAGCTGGTTCAGCATCATAATAGTACATAGAATTTTTTTTCTTTTTTAATATAGATTCTGAGATTCTATCCCCACCAAGATTCTGATTTGGTAGGGCTGGGATGAAGCTCAGAATAGGTAACTGATATTACCTCGGGTACTCTGATGAACAATGTTGTTAGAGACCCACCGATGGGGTAAACTCTTTCATTTAGATCTAGTATGCAGCAGGCATTCTTAACCTGGGGGCTACGGTCTCCCAAGGGGTCTGTAAACCAGGATGGGAAAAAATACATCTGTATTTGACTACCTCTATTGAAACGAAATTTAGCATTCCCTTTCATTATTCATAAAGGTAGCATAGTGCTATAATACTAGGAATTTGGACACCAATAGAAACCACTGATATTCCCACACCATATGTTGGAAAAGTTCAATATTATATAAACTCATCACTACCTTGAAAGAATAGTTATTAGAACTTCTGCTAGGTCTTGCCACCTAATATGCTAATAAAGAAACACATTAAAAATATACTTAAAATGTAATATTTTAATAGAATACTATTCATCCATTTTTAAAAAATGGAAATTCTGTTATTTGTGACAACATGGATGAATTTAGAGGACATTACTCTAAGTGAAATAAGCCAGACACAGAAACAAATACCACCAGATCTCACTTATATGCAGATTCTAAAAATGAACCAGACTGTCTGGTTCAATCTGGGTCTAACCCCGCATGTGACCTTGGGCAAATTACTTAGTTTCCCCAGAAGCCTGTTTTCTTATCTGTCAAATACAAATAATGATGATAACATTGCCTATTTTATGAGGCTGTTTGTGAGGTTCAAATGAAAAATTGAGTCGATATATTGTATGTGCTCAGAACAAGCCATAGTAAGAGCTCAATCAACCCCATCTAGGTTGATGTTTCTACAAGAGAGGGAACTGAAACCCAGAGAGGTGATTTGTCAATGAAATGATGGATGTGAGAGCAGTTCATTAACTGTGCCATACTCTACAAATGGCAGTTACTGCATTTAAGTTAACCAACTTATCAGAGCCAAATCTCTCATGGCAGTGCTAGGTCTTCCCGTGGATCAGGTAGAAGGAGCAATGAAATCACCTACTCTGCCCCTGGGCACAGTGGATAGGATTGGAGCTCTGTACTTGTAGGCATACATGAGTTTCAACAAAACATTCTCTCTAGCACAAGCGAAGGTGTAAGATGCAGTGACAGAGGCTGGGAAGCAAGAGAGAATTAATGACTGGCCATCAAAAGGGGTCAAGCACAACTCAGCCCTGATGCCTGTGACCACACAGGAATGCAGTGTTTGTGCCTCTTAAGACAATTCTGACTTCCTAAGAAAAACTGAAAATCCAAACATCAGAAGAAATTCCCAGATTTTAGGATGCTGAGAATGCTGAGTAAATACACATCTGCACAGCAGATCTGGCCTGTGGCCACCAGTTAATTCCCTCTGTTCTAAATACATCAGTTGGATCAGAAGGCTGCCCTGGCTTACCATAGCAGAGAGTACAGTGGGCCATGTGCTCCACATCCTGCTGGTGCTCAGTCTCCCACACAAACAAATGAAATCTGCTGGCTCCATCCATCTAATGCAAACACACATATACACATTTATGATTAGCTGGATTAAATTTCAGACCATGTTCTTCATGGTGTTTTCCACCATTCAAATGACATTTTAAAAGAATATATAGTCATATAAATATATACACATAATTGGGCATTATATATTATAGCTACTTATAGTGTTTAATGTTATATACCATAATTCTAATATTTAATATTACATGTTAAAATATACAATGTTTATATATTACAGCTAGTTAGGTACTAAAATAATACCCTAGTTCTAACCTGGAGATTTGACTATCAGTATAAGTATATATGAACTATGAGTCTTCAGACTGCCCGTATGCATAAAGCTCAGCCCAATGTCATGTCGTGTCAGAACATGAGGGTTCAATCATTTAAAAATTCCATCAATCTTTGTTAACTGTTCACAGTATGTAGGATGCAGTGTGGTAGGAGCTATTGAAAAAGAGGTAGTCATATATCATTAGAATAGAAAGAGGTTGATACTGTGAGAGAGACCCCTCTAGAATATTCCTGGTCTTCAGAGATAGAGTATTCCTGGTGTTCAGAGTTAGAAGAAATCAAGGAAGGCTTTGTAGAGATGGCAAATTTGTTTTTCTCTTTTACTTTGCCTTTCCAGTTATGAGTAATTTAATAACCAATAACAAGACTTAAAAACAAAATATAATAATAACAATAATAAACTCAACAAGGTCCATGTGATAACAATTCTTTTTTCTTCCTTGGGCCACAATCAGACTACATTTCCCAGCCCCCTTTGCAAATTGGCTGCATTCTAGCTAACGGAATGTAGGTGGAAGTGATGTATGTTATTTGTGAGGCACGATAGTCCATTGCTCCCTGTACCCTCATCTGCCAGGCAGACAGAGGATCCATAAAAAGATTTTGAGGCCGTAGGCTATAATGAGACCACTGATTGAAAGATCTCAGATCCTTAGACAAAGCTACAAGCTGCAAAACAGCTCTCTGCCATGACACCCATACATTCATTCATTCATATCTGCTTGTAAAGATGGCAGAAAAAAAATCTTTTATGGTGCTAAGACTAGGAGATTAAGGTAAGACTTTCACCTCATGACAAAGTAGAAATGCTTTCAGATTCTTTCTGTTAGGACCTGAGGTGTGGATTGCAAAGAGGTAACCGTCTACACTTAGCCGTGTCCATCTTTTAATCTACTCCCTATCAAAGCACATAGGATGGTGCCCCACTGAAGGTCTGCTCCTCCTCCTCCTTCATCCTTGGTCAAGAACAAGCAGGTTCTGGGCCCTCCTCTGGGTAGCAAGGTGTGGAGGAGGTGAAGATGTTGCCTCAGGCCTCAAGGAGATTAACAGTCAAGAGTTACTTTAGAAAAGAATATTCTGTAATATATACTCATTACAGAGCGCTTCCCTCTCTGTGTTCATGGCTGCAGCATATCCCAAACATTGTCTTTCAGAGCGAGCTTACTTGAAGGAAATGTCCTAGTAGGGAAAGAAACAAGAAGAGCTGAATGTGTATTTATCTAATGGAACACCAAAATCCATGGGATCATTGCTAGTTTCCCAAGAAAAAATGCAAAAGTAAACTTAAATTCTGCTTTTTCCCTGACTTAGACATTGAAATCAACCAAACAGCTAGGACATAAAAGTCCTAACAAGCTGCAGAGAGATACGACAGTGACGTGACCACACATTCGAAGGGCTTAAACCCTAAGGGAAAGGCACACAAAGGACTTTCAAGAAGAAAAAAGTTCCAAGAATATGTTTTAAGAAAACAGAAGGAAGAAATTCATTTTAAGGCCAGGGCTAGAGGAGACCCTATTACTTTTAATGAGGATAATGGCATCTTGGACTTTTGAGAGCATGAGTAGGATACTGAGCTGAAAAAAGAAGCAGGAAAAAGCATTCCAGTGTGAAGGAATGGCATGTACAAAGACTCAGAAGGAGACAGTGGTTATCTCTCCAGTTCTGCTCAGTGCCTCCACTCCTCACATATTACAGAACATCCTCTTCCAATGTGCATCTGCAGAGCACATTTGAAACCTGAAAGTCATGGATACAAGGAGGAAGCTGGCAGAAAGAGGGAGTGCACAGGTGCCAACATTCAATAATCAGATCTATTCCACATGATCATCAGATCCAAGTATGGACTAAACCAAATAGACTTAATTAATTACCCAAGGACTAAACATTGTCCACAGGGTTATGACATTTGCTAGCTTTACTGGAAATCACAGGAAGCAATTTGGAAGGCTTCTGAAATCAGGATCTATGGCAATGTGCCAGGAGAAATGAGGAGGCTCAGATCACCCTAGGAGCTTCAATTTTTTCCCAGAAGTTGTGGAAAAATGCTGAATTCACACCAAAAATAAATAAATAAATAAATAAATAACCCAATCAATAAACGAGCTAAGGAACTGAGCAGACACTTCACAGAAGAAGAAATACAACAGATCAACAAATATATGAAAAAATGTTCAACATCACTAGCAATTAGAGAAATGCAAATCCAAACTAAGATTTCATCTCACACCAGTCAGAATGACAATTGTCAAGAATACAAGCAACAGGGGCTGGGGTTGTAGCTCATTGGTAGAGTGCTTGTCTATCGTGAGTGAGCAACTGGGTTGAATGGTCAGCACCACATAAAAATAAATAAAAATAAAGGCATTGTGTCCACCTACAACTAAAAAAAATATTTTTTAAAAAAATACAAGCAACAGTAAGTGTTGGTGAGGACGTAGGTGAAAAGATCCATTGCTTTGGGACTGCAACCACTCTGGAAAGCTATAAGTATAGAGATTCCTTAGAAAACTTGGGATAGAACCACCATTTGACCCAGCTATTCCACTCCTTGGTCTACACCTAAATGTCTTAAAATCAGCATACTACAGTGATATAGCCACATCAATGTTTATAGAGCTCAACTCACAATAGCTAAACTGTGGAACAACCTAGATGCTCTTCAACAGATGAATGGATAAAGAAACTGTGGTATATATACACAGTGGAATATTACTCAGCCTTAAAGAAGAATGAAATTATGACATTTGCAGGTGAATGAATAGAGTTGGAGAATATCATGCAAAGTGAAATAAGCCATTCCCAAAAAAAATCAAAGGCCAAATGTTTGCTCTGATATGTGGATGCTGATCCATAATGGCAGGGGAGAGCAAGGGACGAATGAAGGAACTTTGGGCAGAGGGGAGTGAGGGGAGGTAAGGGGGCATGGGGTGGGAAAGATGGTGGAATGAGACCAACATTATTACCCTATGTACATGTATGATTGCACAAATGGTGTGACTCTGCATTGTGTACAACCAGAGAAATGAAAATTCAAACATGCCTTCCTAGTCTGTACAAATTCATACTTCTCTTTCTTTGAGGAAATTCATGGGAGAAGTTATTGGCAGCACTAATGGATTAGATATCAGGAATTTGAGTCTTAGTCCTTATGTGCTATGTTTGACCTTGGAGAAGCTTCTGGCTTCAGTTTTCTCATGACAGAGTTTTAGGGTAGGAGTCAATGCCACTGAGTTCTCTTCCTGCCCCCACACAGGCTGGTCCTCAGTTACTGTTTCTGTATTGGCCTCTTCTTCAGGACAGAGCATCACCTTTTCTATTCTGAGCAACTCAGGGCACATAACCTTTCTGTTGCTCTGCTTGCTGGAAAACTGCTAAATTAAACTGAATTTGAATAGATAGAGAACTTTATTTTTTTCAGTACTGGGGATCGAACCCAGGGGTGCCTAACTGAGCCAATTCCCTAGCTCTTTTTATTTTTTATTTTGAAACAGAGTCTTGCTAAGTTGCTTAGGGCCTCACTAAGTTGCCGAGGCTGGCTTTGAACTCATGATCCTCCTCCTGCCTTGCCTCAGCCTCCCAAGCCTCTGGGATTACAGGCATGGACCACCACACCTGGAAGAACTTTCATTTTTTAACTTTTCTTAGGAACATTAATTTTATAATCATGATTAACATTTTGAACTGTTCTTGCAAAAGAATTGTGGGCATGACTACACAAAAGCCCAATGGAAATCCACAAGGAAACTGATTCAGTAATAGATGCATCTGTACCAAGTTGTCATTTATAACCATATAATTACTCAGACTTTGGACTTGCCAACACAGTCTGTCACTAATAATTTAGACAAGATACTTCCTGAGAAAGCTCAAGCAAAGAAATAGTGTGGGAAGGAATTCCAGTATGAGGAGAGGAGAAAACTGGCCCTGTGATTCCTACTTCAAACTCACATCAGCATCAGATAAGGAAATCTCGAAAATAGAGTACCTAAAACACAATCCAAGAGATCTGCTTGAAGCTCAAAGCTTTACTATCATTTAACCAGCACCATGGTAATTCCCACAACCAAGTTCATTCCTAAATGTCTGACTGTGGCTTGTTGGGACCAGTTGTTATACTAAAGACAGGAGTATCTTGAGTGATGAGGATAGGGCACAGGGGTTTGCATTAACAAACACTTTGTTTAATAGACATTTTCTCAAAGGATACAAGGACAATCCTCCAACCTCAACCCCCAAGATTAAAGAACTCCCTATGAGCCCTGACCTAGAGAGACCCAGGGCTTATTAGCTCCATGCTTCAGCTGCTATACTAAGCTGCCAGAGACCATTCCTGGGACTGAGTTGGGCGAAGCTCTCGGCTTGGAAAGATGGAAATAAAGAGGAGGAAGAAAATGCTAGGGAGGAGTATTTGCCTTGGACAGAGGATAAACTAGCCAGACCCTAAGGAGTTAGAACTAACATGAAATTGAAGTAAGGGCTTGGAAAACAAGGAGAGAACCCTGGAAAAAGTAAGGAGAAGGAAACAGACACAGAGAGAAAAGAACATAGCCACATAACTTGTGCCTGACCCAAAGAGAATGAGTACAACAGTTTTGGCTCCTGCCAGTTGGCATGGTGCCACCAAAGACTACCATGAAGAAGCCAACTCTTCCTGGACTCCCCAGCAAGTATTAGGATCAGCACTGGGTTGAGGGTGTTGGGTGGAAAAGTGGGGCTTAGGAATAAGCCACAGTAGAATGCAAATTCCAGAACTGCATAGCTTAGAACAAGTCACTTGCCCCCTGACCTTCACTTACCTCATCTGGGAAGTGCAAATTATCATTATTAACTTGCAGGACAATTATAAGTGTGTTAGACCAACAACAGTCCTCAAGTCTTAATATTCATGCAAATCCTCTAAGGATCTCGATATAAATGCAGATTGTGATTGATGAGATTGTAGGCAAAGCTTGAAACTTAACATTTCTCACATGGGTGATGCTACTGTTACTGGTCCACAGACCACAGTTTGAGTAGTGAGGGGCTCAGACGACAAGGCATGGAAATCAAGAAGCAAGTAGCACAGTAGCTGGAAATTCAAAGGTGCTCGTCAAACGGAAGCTATTTGATTTAATAAATCCTGAGCAAAGGGCACTCTTAAGGACCTCAACATGGTAATATAATGACCTACGTTGAGCATACACACAGGAAATGTCAGGTAACTCTCATAATCCTTACAACAAATCTATGAGTTTATGCCTATTTTACAGGGGAATAAATTGAGGTTCTGGGGCCAAATAACATGCTCAGGTTTCAGAAGGGAAAAAGCTAGGGTTTGAAGTCTCATTGCCTATTTTCTTCCCCATGTCACTGATCCAGGCTTTAGGGTATTAAGAATCTAATGGAGAATGTAGCAGCCATAGGTAAGTGTCAACTTTTCTAAATTCTGAAATTTATACCAAAATTTTAAATATTAAACCCAAATTTTTCTTTGGCCTTCCTTTTAATGTTTTCATCTTTTAGCTTTCATTTTCAAACTTTAAAACTTTTTTTTTAAGTCTCCTATGATAGCCAGCATCCCACTCCTTGGATTTGTTAAGAGAAATACACAGGAATAATAATAGGGCCAGTTCATAGCTCATAGTGTTATTGTAAAGATAACATGCATTAACATGGCAAAAGAACTTAGAACATCTAAAGTCTCTTTTTTCTCCTATTTTTGAATTTTGAATTCAAAATCTCATTGCTAAAGGAAATTCCAGACTTTGAACAACTATTTAACTGCTCTGTGTCCCTGTTTTGTTCTCTGAAAAATAGGCTCATAATACCACTTATCTCATTGGGTTGTTGTGAGGATTAAATAAACCAAGTAAAAGCCTGGATATTTATCCGAAAGAACTAAAATCAGCCTACTCTAGGGACAAGTGCACACCAATGTTTATAGCAGCACCATCCACAATAGTCAAGTTATGGAACCAGTGTAAGAGCCCATCATCAGATGAATGGATAAAGAAAATACAGTGTATACACACACAATGAAGTTCTATTCATCCATAAAGAAGAATGAAATTATGTCATTTATTGGCAAATGGGTGGAACTGGAGAACATCGTGCTAAGGGAAATAAATTGGACTCACAAAGTCAAAGGTTGATTGTTTTCTCTCATTTGCAGAACATAGAAAAAAGGAGAACTTGTGACTATATCACAATGCCTTCCAATATTATATATAACCAATTTTTAAAAAATAAAGAAATAGAAGACCAACTGAGTAGAGAAAGGAAATCAGGGGAAGGGCTATAACAAGAGGGCTATCACAGTGAACAAGAAACTCACTCTGATTTTAACTTTGTTTCTCAATCCAAGATATTTCATCCATCCTTCCTGGCAGTTTGCAAGCTGTCACAAGTTTATCTATTGATTCTTAGAAGCATATTCACAGCTGTGTCAACAAAATCTCTCACCTATCACTTTTGCTGCACACACTCCATCTTAAGAGAAAATTAAATGGTCTGGCACAGCTGAATTCATTAGCTCTGAAGTTGAACCATATGACATTTCCATTTTCTCAGGTTGAAAACGGTCAAATATTGGCAATGTCGCCTGGTTTAAAGCAACCTGAAATCTCTTAAGAAGACAAACACCCTTCATTTTGATAAATCATCCCAGATATTCCAGAAGAATATACGGCAATAGGGTCCCTACTAAGACCGCCTCCTCCCTGCATACACAGCAATCTCTGGGGAATTCACGTTAGAAAAGGTAAATTTTAGAGACTAGATAAATGAGTAAGTTGTGGAACATACATATGTAGAAATACTGCACAGGAATAACAAAGGACAAATTACCCATATACACAGCATGGATGAACAAGGAAAACAGACATTATGTTTACTGGAAGAAGTCAGGCACAAAAGAGAATGTGCTGCACATTTCAATTTATATGTAGGTCTAGAACAGGTTAAAAACAACTATCTGACTGTGATAGAAATCCGAAGAGTAGTTATCCTGGAGTGTGTGAGTGTCCTCTATCTGATACCACATCTTGGTAACAGGAGAATAAACATATAAAAATCCATCTCTGTGTGTGTGCATAAAATCACTGCACCTTTTCTACTTTTTTAATAAAATACATATGTTATATCCTAGTTGTTATGCTTTACATGTGAGGTATCCCCCAAAAGCTCATATGTGAGACAATGAAGGAAGGCTTAGAGGTGAAATTATTGGGTTATAAGAGCCTTAACCTAATTAGTGTGTTAATCCACTGATATGGATTAATGGAGTGGTGACTATAGGCTGGCAATATATGGCTGGAGGAGGTGGGTCATCAGAGGGTGTGCCTTTGGGATATATATTTGGAAAGGTGACCATATTCTCTCTCTCTCTCTCTCTCTCTCTCTCTCTCTCTCTCTCTCTCCTTCCTGGTAATGTCCTGAGCTGCTTTCCTTCCATTATGATGTTCTGCCACACCTCAAGCCCCAAGGAATGGAGTCGGCCATCTGCAGACTGAGACCCCTGAAACTATGAGCCCCAAAATAAACTTTTCCTTCTCTATGTTGTTCTTGTCAGGTCTTTTGGTCCCAGCAGGAAAAAGCTGATTAAAACACCAATTTAAGAAAAAAAAAGGAAGAAAGTTACAGTCTGTGACCCCAATGATACAGTTTAGCATAGTGGTTAAGAACACCTCTGAAAGTAGATAATATCCGTCCTTCCGCTAGCTAGATATCTGACCATCGATGATATACTGAACCTCTCTAAGCCTCAGACTTATTATCCCCAACATGGAGATAAATAATAACACCTACCTCTAGAGCTTTTGGGGTCACTGAGTAAGATAATATCTATGAGACCCATAGCACAGAACAGGTGCTCAGGAACTGCCAGTTAGTGCTAAGAGTAGCCCTGACAATAGGGTCTATACTGAGACCCCTCACTCCTTGCCTCCACAGCAATCTCTTGGAAATTCTTCCCCTGAACAACTCTCATTCCTCAAGTGATCCTTGTTGGAGGGGTAAGAACCAGGTGCCAACTCCATGAACCCTACCCATCACCAATCCCCCACCCACTTACCAGTAGAGCATCTGGAAGGTTGTGCTCCTCTGTGAAGGTGATGATCACAGGTGTGACGTCCACGGCACTGAGCTCCAGCATGGCTGTGCTGACGGCAACTGTGTCATAGGCCCTGCCCGCCTGGAAGAACACAGCCACCTTCCTCACCAGGAGGCCAGGGCGCACACGTTTGAATACATGTCTTGCCACAAACCTCATGGCAGCCCCAAGGTTCCTGTGGCCAGATGACTGTATCAGAGGGATTTTCCTAACAGCCTGCAGAAGGGCAGGCTTCCCCTTGTAGTCTGAGAATCGAACCAGATAATCTGTTCTGTCATTGTAGGAAACAATGGCCACTCGGGCACCCATTGGGCAGTGACTCTCACTTATTTCCAACTTCATCAACAAAGATAATAAAATGTCTCTCATCCTCTCAAAATCCAGCTGGGAGGTATCATTTGACATGTCCAAGGCAAAGGCCACTTCAGTTGGGAACACTGGGCATTTATGAACACCTTGACACAAGGGAGACACAGATTTAAGATATTGTATAACACCTCCAAACAGGTGAGGATTTAAGTGAATAAAGAGTATAATTTACCTGTTGAGCAAGCTGGAAGGCAATTAATTTTGGAAAGACAAGAAGATTATTAGTTTATACAGACAGTGGCATCTTTTCCATGTGTTTCAATATGAAAAACCTCCCCTCCCAGCAATTCAAGCAGTACCTTCTAGACTCCTGCTGAGTATATTTCCCAGCATGTACTCTCCCTTTTCTCTAAGGTAACAGAACCCCACTTTCTGACTGGGCATATGGCTGCCTGGAATAAAGACCACATTTTCCAGTGGGGTAGCCCTCTTATTAAATTCTGCATAACAGAGTAAGAAAATTAGTATGTACCAAGTATCCTGCTCCTTTCCCTTCCTTTCCCACTGATTGAAATATAAGTATGATGGCTAGAGCCTCACAAACTGCTTGGACCATGAGGTGGTTTGGAGGATAAGGTGTAAATATACACTCACACACACACACACACACACACACACACACACAACACAACACATAATAACAGAATAAGAAAATATAAGGGGTCAGACATGGGGGTGCATGCTGATAATCCCAGAGATTCAAGAGACTGAGGCAGGAGGATTGCAAGTTGGATGCCAACCTCAACTGGCAATTTAACAAGACTCTGTCTCAAAATAAAAAAAAAAAAAAAAAATGGGCTGGAGATGTATACTGGGGTGATCAGTATAGAGCACCCCTGGGTTCAATCCCTCTGAAAGGGCGGGGAAACAGCTCAATGAGCATCTCCAATGAGCATCACCACAGAGGAGCCAATCAGCTAGATGTTGCTGGGCCGCTGTGAGCCAATCATCAGCCGGCAGCTGGAAGTTTGCTGGCAGCAGGAAGTTTGCTGGGGCCCCTTGGGCTGTGGCTCTCAACAAATCCCCAGTTTAAGAAAGAAAGAGGAGAGAGCAAGGTGGGAAGAGGAATACAAAAACTATATCCAGCAATACTGTGGGGATCCAAAGGCAACCCACACTGACAACTTCCGGGCTTTGATTTGAGAAATACATTCGTCTAGTGTTACTGAGGATAACAATAGTCTCATTCAAGTGAAATTAAATCTCATACGTTGAGCCATTCTGAAACTACATATATGTATATATATACATATGTATATGACATATAATTTATATGTAAAATATAAACTCCACATATTATATATACCAAGGTATATTTACAAGTAATATATTCTCATGGAAAATTTTTAAATTATCCTTAATCCATCATACATGTAAATATGCGTGTGTATGTATGTGTATAAATGACAATGTATAAATAATTATTTTATTTTATTTCCTAAAACTTGGAGCTTAGTATATGTTCCATTCTGAATCATTTTCACTTAGTACATGATGATTTTTTCATCACTACACTTAGAGCCATATCATCTATTCTACTATAGAGCTGCCCCATAAATTCTTCGGCCAATAGCTCCTTCTTAGTTGAATCAGTATGCCTTTCAAACCACTTCACTTCTGAGATCATGCTGGAAAAGATTATTTACCCAAAGGGGGACTGAACCCAAAGTGTTAATTTGTAAGAACTTTTCATGATAGAAAAGCCATCTTCCAAGCCTCAGTCAAATCCTCAGGGGACATTAGCCCCCAATCCTTGACCTATTCCCACTTCAACATACTGGTTCCTTTTGAGTGTTTTCCAAATAACTTACGGCAGTTTTCTCGAATGAAATCAACAATTTCACAAGGCTGTTAGAAAGATGGAGAGAGACAGGGAAAGGAAATAAGAATTTAATTTGAAAACATATCTTTCTTCACTCCTGTGACTTAGAAATGTCATGTGGATGTTATCAGAGCATACCTGAAGCTCTTTAATCTACAACAGAAAACTCAAAAATTATTAGAGCCAATGAAACTACCCAACAATTCTAGTTCTGGATCCAGTAGATAATTTAAAACATTTAAAAGATTTTATATACAATATAACGAGATAGATAGATAAGCTATGCTATGTTTTTTAAAAAAAATCCACATCACAAACAACGGAATCAAACCTGATTTTGAAGTTGAAATTCAGAAATCTCAGCGGAGATTGAAGAGACATGCTTTCAGTGCTTGGATCTCTCTATTAGCAATTCCTGTGATACTTCTCTAGAATGACTGACAAGATAAGCACCCCACTATCTCTCCTAGTAATTCTGCTTCTTCCTTTGAACCCTTGTTCTTTGCCCTGTTCTACCCTCAAACCCAGATCCCATCACTTCCTGTCCTCAGTTGTCTCCACAGCCCCACTCCCTACCTATTAGTTTTTGTGTACTTGGGAGATRAAAAATCATAACTTTTGAGATTGTTTGAAGTGTACCAGGAGGCACAACAGCCTGTACCATACTGTGTGTTAACTTACAAACAATTGGTAAGCAATGTTTGAGCTTCATAGAAAGGCATACTTGCACAAAGGTAGTAGCCTCAGAGTTTTTCCTTTCACATCAACTGATGTTACTCAAAAAACATCTAGACTCCTTGCTGAATTTAAATATTATTCTTTTTTTACTCAGTTATAACTTTGCAAAGTCTATAAACAAACTACTAGCAGAATTTGTAAAAAAAATAATCTAAAGAATCTTTAAGATTAATTGATTGCCATTTGGGGAAACTAGAAATCTTTATGTTCTGAAAAAATTAAAGTTTATAATGAAAAATCTTCACCTACCACCATGTTCACCAAACCTTTGGGTCCCTTGATGCCCTGAAAAGAACAGACACTTGGATTTAAAACAAAAATTCTGATATCTAACACATTCTTCTCCAGAACTGACAAAATATCAGCTATTATATTTTTAAAATATAAAAATATTTTACTATGAAAGCTCACCACCATACATAGATAGCCATTCACTCCTAGCCCTAGGATTCTGGTCTGACTCCTTAAAGAAGGCCGGAGTGCCTAAGAAGTATGTCCCAGACTTCAGAGTATGGGAAGTCCACACAGATGGCACATAAAGACTCTTAGCATTTTGCAACCAAGCTGTAGCTCAGGATCAAATTCAGGAAAAGTAAATGTCTTCTTTGATATAAAAAGAGCCACTAAGAACAGAACAGGAAGGAAGAGCATGAGGAAAAGACTAACAGTAAACAAAGACGAGTGGGGGGAGAGAAAGGGAGAGAGAAGGGAAAGCTTATGGAAATGGTAGGAGACCTTCAATGATACACAAAATTATAAGAGGTTATGAGGGGCAAGGGGGAGGGGAAAAAAGGGAGAGAATTGAACAACAGCAGAGGAGGTAGAGAGGGAAGATGGGAGGGGAGGGGAGGGGGGGGGGGGGGGGATGGGAGGGGATAGGAAAGGTAGCAGAATACAACAGTCACTAATATGCCATTATGTAAAAATGTGAGTATGTAACAGATGTGATTCTGCAATCTGTATTTGGGGTAAAAATGGGAGTTCAAAACCCAATTGAGTCAAATGTATGAAAGATGATATATCATGAGCTCTGTAATGTTTTGGACAATCAATAAAAAAAAATTCAGGAAAAGTTCATTCAACATCCCAGGTCTGTTCATACACTTTTCTAAATTAAATCCAAGTCCCTCCCCTATCCCTTCTCTCCATCCACCCATCACTACCCTGTCTTTTCCCTAGTACATGTTTGGTGCTAGGGAAATCCTGGAGAGTGAGACTATCAATGCAAACAAGATGAGCCAAATATTTATGCAGATTGTAGCTGCAGCCTGGCTCCAAGCACTCTGGGAGTCTAGAGATCTTTGTTTTTCATGCTGCACAAATTAGCCATTTGTAACCTTGGGCAGGTCACCACAATCTTCTCAGTCTCTGTTTCTTACTTGTACTATGATGTGAATAGTCCTCTATCTATATGACTTTTGCTTCTCTAGCTTTGTCTCACCTCTCCAGTAAACCCTAAACCTCAGTGAAACCACCAGGTTTAATGCCCAGCTGACTTTAGGTGCCATTCCATGCCCTAGGAGGAGGTAGGGGGCAGAATCATAGCTTTGAAGTCTTTCCTTTCAAACCAAATGACTTTTTACAGAATTTTAAAAGATATTTATAGACTTAGAACACTATTAATTCAGTTAGGATTATAAAAATTATTATTTTGTTAATATTTCCTTCTGGTTCCTGCATACACATCATTGCTCATCTTGTTTGCATTGATAAACTCACTCTCCAGTGAGTTTTATTCATTATCTTATGTATTTAGGCAGATTCATAAATCTCTAGCCACTCCACTATATTCCCCATGCTCAAGAAAAAATATATATGTATGTGTGTATATATATGTGTTTATTTTTTTTAATAAGTACACACACTGAGTAATGATTTGAAGCTAATGTTCTCTGAAGCAAATTTGGCTTATTCCCTAGATTCTTTTGTCTGTCTCAAATGTTCACTTCCTCTTTATAGACACCTTTTATCAAATCTTTATGCATTTTTATACAAAGGTTGAAAATAAAAGAAAGGAACAGACACATGTTACCATTTTGCCTGGCGGGCCTTGGTCACCTGGAGCTCCAATAAATCCAGGAAAGCCAGCATTACCCTAAAAATGACCAAAGCAAAGAATAAGCTTCCCCACTGATTACAACTAACAGAGACCCGCTATGAGATATCAAGTTGTCACTATACATAAGGCCAATGGGTCTGCTATTGTCCAGTTGGTTTATGAACAGTAAATCCATGAGGAGAGAAATGGAGACTAGAAAGAGAAGGGGTACCTTTTCATTAACCATCCAGCCCTCCTGCCCCATATACCTAACTCCAGACTTGCCCATGTGTGATACACACACACTTCCAGACAAGCCTTCAAAGAGTTGAGTCTCAAGGTCATATAGCAAAAAGGAATACATGAAGTCTATGTTGAAGTCCTGACATCAAGGAAAAGAAAAAATTCCCACACCACCATCAGGTTCTCAGTGTCTCAGAAAAGGCACATGATTTTTCATAGGCTCACTGCTTGTATTCCAGGTGTTTGAAATGACACAGCATTATTTGGATTTCACTGATGCTTTCACCCTTTTTTATTTGAAACTAGAGAGATAAGTTAGCTGATTAGGGTAACCATAGCCAGCAGTAAGCCAAGTTAAGCATAGATCAAATTTTTCTTTAAGTCATTGCCATTGGGTGAAGATTCCAATGACTGAATGCATGGAAAATACAAATTATCAGCCAGGTGTTGGGGCACATACCTATAATCCCACTACTTGGGAGGCTGAGGCAGAAATATTGCAAGTTCCATGCCAGCCCCAGAAACTTAGCAAGACCCTGTCTCAAAAAAAAAATAATAAAATGTGATGATGGGGGTATAGCTTGGTGGTAAGGAACCCCTGGGTTCAATCCCCAGTACCAAAAAAAGAAAACATATATTCTCTTTTCTTTCCTCTTTTTCTGCACTTTCTGTCCTTTCCCTGGCTAGCCTTGGCACTTTGATATCTATCAGCTAAACACTACCACTGTGTTAATATCCACAGGATTAAACTTTTCAAAAAAGAGTTGCCAGTGATTGTGGCTCTTCAAGACTGAATCTTCAGAACCTGAAGGAATCGATTTTTTAATGGGAGACTCCATGAAGCACAATGGACTGAAATTTCACCAAGATAGAATTCCTGAGAAATAATTAATAAATAAATAAATAAATAAATAAATAAATAAATAAATAGCTAAAAGAAAGTTAAGGCTTGGAAGAATCCCAAAGAAACAAGCAATGATTGATCTACAACTAAAACTCATCCAGACTTACCAAAGACAGAGATGGCCCCAGCATGTTTTCAAAAGGTTGATCTTGTATAACTAAAACTCTAACTTGTATTTTCTGTTGTTATGGTTTGGTAAACTGCATTGCATTCAGAAGATAAATGAGGGGGGATTAAGTGGAGAGTGTGGTAGATGAGAGAAAGGGTGGAAAGTGCTTTAAGAAGGAATGGGCTTCCTGCCACGAAGTCCATTAATGCAATGGAAGTGTGGGAGAGGGTTCTTAGGGCTTACCCTCTTCCCTCTGATTCCTTTTGCTCCCTTCTCTCCTTGGTGGCCAGGGTCACCATCTTCTCCCTTAATAAAATCAAAAGCAGAACAGTGAATGTAAAGAAAAATAAATACAAACGAATGACACATGCTGCCTACCAGTTTCCAGGCCAGAAAGACATCTTCTTACTTGTTCACCAGGATAGCCAGGGAATCCAGGTTCACCCTAGTGTTGGAAATGAGATAAGGTCATGTTTAATGTGATGTGATGAAGTATTTCCTTGACATTCCTCACTTAAAGAAGACATTGTAATTTTGAGGAAAGAGATTCAAAACCAGTGCCAGGAAAAACAACTATATAAATTGTTATTATCTTGAGCTGCTCTCAAGGGGCCCTACTCCATTTCTCTAATTCAACATGAAACAACTTGTAAACGATTTTTACAAATTTTTCTCCTTGGCATACTATATAATGATACTTCCTTCTTAAGCATTTTTCTCTCTCCTTTTAAATAACCCTACGTTTGACCCAATGGAAACCAAGGAGGGAGCACCAAATTGAATGTTAGGAAGCAAGCATTCATTGTCAGAACCAAAGGCATGCTGCAAAGCAATCTTTCTTTCAACAAGTATTTATTTAGCATCTACCATGTGCCAAGCACTTCTCTAGGCCCTGGGAACTCAGCGGTGAACAGAACAAAGACCCCATAGAATTTAAATGCCAGTGAGGAAGCAAGCAAACAAACAAACACATAGGAAAAGAGAAATGCTATTCCCGGAAAGGGATCAAGAAGTAAAATATTATAATTGTCCTTCAGTATTCATGGAAGAATACTGTTCTAGTATTCTTGGAAGAATTAGTTCTAGCATCCTGTAGAGACAAAACATCTGTGGGTGTTCAAGTCTCTTGGGTAAAATGGTTCAGGATAGTATTTGCACATAACCTATGCATATCCTCCCATAGGCTTTAAGTCATATATAGATTACTTATAATACCTAATGCAATGCAAATGCTATGTAAACAGTTGCTATACTGTATTGTTTAGGGAACAATAACATTAAAAAAAAGCTGATACATGCTCAGTACAGGCACAATTTTTTTCAAACATCTTCTATCTGCAGCTGATTAGATTTGTGCATGTGAATATGTGTTCTTGGGTGGGATAGAGGGCTATTTTATATAAGGTGACCAGGCAAAGCCTATTTGTAAAGGTGGCATTTGGGCAAAGACCAACATGAATTGAGGAAACAAGCCAAACAGATATCTGGGACAAGAGTGTTCCAGGCAGGAGAAACCCCAAGGCAAGAGAATGAAAGTGTGCTGCCATGTTTAAGGAACACTGAAGCCAATGGAGGGCAGGAAGAGGGCAGGAGGAGATGAGGCTGAAGAATTCACAGGAGGCCACGATAACATATTCTGAGTGACACAGGGAGTCACAGCAGGGCTTTTTTTTTTTAAGAATGGCTCTGGCTGCTTCCTATAGAATGCTCTGAGGACAGAGCTGAAAGCAGAGAGACCAGGAATGAGACTACTGCAATAATCCAGGTAGAAAACCATGTTGGCGTGGCTCAGAGAGGAAATGTAGTCCTGAGAAATTGTCAAATGCTGGATGGATATATCTGGAAGACAGACTCACCATTATTCATTGATGGATTAAATATAGAGAGTGAGAGGAAGAAACATCATTTATCCTGAGCACTTGGAGAAACTCCATACCCTGGGATGAGGAAGGCTCAGGTGAGGGGCAGGTTATCAAGGGAATCAGTTTGACCAGTGGGGTATTTGATAATATTAAAAGATTACTGCAAATTCTTTGATGTTCATATTTTTAAACAACCTTTTAAAAATGCAACCTGAATTATTTGTATATGAACTATGAGATGTTTGGGGTTTTCTTTAAAATAATTGGCAGGAAGGGGATATAAGTAAGTGGGAATATAAATAAAACAAAATTGGCCAGGGGTTTCTCATTGTTTGAACTAGGTGATAAGTACATGAGGAGGGATCCTTACTAATCTTAGTAACTAAACTAAGTCAAACTGATCTCTTCATATACGTTTAAATGTTTCTATAATAAAAAGAATAAAAGATCAATTTAAAAAGAAGAAACTTGTTTGGGAACATGCCAATTTTAAGATGCCTATTAGATGACCAAAGCAAAGCATTTCCGAAGTTAGGATATTGCTCCAAACTTGAGACGTAAACTGGAGCTCATGGGAGAGATGGTGCTTGAGTCCAGGAAACTGGATTTTGCTGAGGACAGTCTCCCAAGGGGTGAGTGATGGGGAGATAATTATGAAAATAGAGCTCTGAGTCTTCCAATACTTAAAATCAAGAATATTCTGAAGATCCAGCAACAAGGGTTGAGAAACAGCATGTAGGAAAAAAAAAAAAACAAGTGGGATGTACTGGAAGCTAAGTGAGGAAAAGTGTCAAGAAGAAGCCCATGGTCACCTTTGTCAAAGCTGCTGAAAGATGGAATGTGACAGGGCAGAGTGCAGACCACTGGATTTAGTAACATGAGGTTCACTCTGTCTAAAGCAGACCAAGTCAGGGAGTAAAGGCTCAACTATCATCAGTTAGAAAGTGGAACTTCTCACCCTTGCACTATGCATATTTTAGATCTGGTAGTCCTTTGCTGTAAGGGCTGTTCTGTGTGATGCAAATGTTAAATCAGCACCTCTGGTCTCTACACAATAGATGCCAGTAGTATCCCCTTCCCTCTCCCATTGTGACAACCAGAACATCTCCAGATGTTGCTAAACATCCCCTAGAAGATAATATCATCCCTGGTTCTCAACTAGATATAGATGACTCCTTCAATGAGTGTTGCTAAAAATAAGTGAGGCAATGGGAGTAGTGTATATCCAAGTAAGGAATTTGGGGTACTTGTTTTTCTTAAGATGAGAAATATTCGTATTTTTGAACACAAATRGAAATAACTGACACTGGACGATGCAAAAGATCAAAGTGGCAAATTCAGAGGACAGAGCTCTGAGTAAACAAAAGGAGTAGAGTTCAGTCTAGGAGATGAGGAACTAATGTTGGACAGAAACATGAATGTTCATCCAGAGCAGAAGACGGAGGCAGGATATTTGGGTCCAGAGGTAAGTGGATAGGCCCACTTGGCGGTGGACATATGCAGACGTTCTCATCATCTCATTGCTTCTGTTAATGAAGTCGGAAGTTGGATCGTCTGCTTTAAGTGTAGAAGAGAAAGCAAAATAGAAAGAGCCTTGGAGGTTTGAGGAGAGTGGAGAGGGTATGAAATAGTTACCTCAATGAGGAGGATAGTGATTAGACTAGGAAAAGATAGTGAACTGACAAGCAGCAATAAAGCCCATTTAAAGTGAGACCACTAGACCTTGCCAAGGAAAATTCACACAAACGTTGACTGAATCTATGTGTTGCATCATGTTAACAACACACATTGCTTAGCTGTGAGCTGAGCACATACTACCCAGAATGTTCTTCACATGCAAACACTTCCCTAGAGAAGAAAGACTTAGTTTGCTGGATGGGGCTCCAGGAGTCTAGCTTCTACACTTTGCTCTGCCTCTGACTAGCCATATGACCACAGGCAACTTACTTCACTTCTCTGAGCCTCCGTTTTCTCAACTGTAACTCAACGAGGCTGAACTAGATGGTCACGAAGGCTCTTTCTATCTCTGTCATTCCATGGATATTCACTAGGAACTTATTGTGTTGGACATTTTTTTTTCCTCAACAACATGGCCACAGTGTCATCTTGCAGCCACAGAGGAAGCATAAGAACTGCAGAGAAGCCAACCCAGAGTCCTGACATCATGAAGTATCTGAGCATCACTAAACATCCCAGTGATTTCTTACTTTGTGAGGCAATAAATGATGGTGATAGAGATAGTAATTTGGAGACTAAATCATTCAGAATACGAGTTTGTTCAACAAACTTCATGTGACCTCCATGTTTCAAAACCCATCAGTGTGACCCATGAACTATGTGGAAAATACCAGCTTCTTATGGTAGTGGCACTCTTTAATTAATACTTATTTATTAAGCACCTTCCCTGTGCCAGGCTCCGTTTCAGCAATGCAAAGATGAATAAGGGGCAATCAGGTTGCCAGTTCATAGACTAGGTGGGTAGACATAAATACAGAGAAATTATAATACGACCTACCTGGAAAGGTGCTACTGCAGAAACACACACAATGTGCTTTAGGAACACAGAGCATAGGACAACAAATTCTGTCTGGAGAAGTTAAAAAGGTTTCCACCAGGAGAATTTGATATTTGAGTTGGTTTTAGAAAATGAGTGAAAATCATCCAAGGGAGGGAGATGGAGAAGGGCATATTAAATAGAGACAAGGTTGTTTACAAGGCATGAAGTGTTTATAAGGTGGCAGGTGAGGTAAGAAGTTTGATTTTTAAATAAGAATGGGACAAAATCTACTTTTACTTTTTAGGAAGGAACTCTGCCAGCTACAGCACATCATAAGCAGCATGTAAAAATCAATTTTGGCACACCACTTAGAAAATTATCTTAGTCTACTAAAATAAAATTACATATATATATATATATATATATATATATATATATATACACACACACACACACACACACACACAAACATACATACTACATACCTACCTATTGAGAAAAAGGAAAAGGAAGGTTTGTTGCTTTGCTAGCAAAAGAGAAACACAGGAGAGGCTGTGATTCTGCCCATCAGCAGGAACAGGGGGCTGTGAAAGCAATATTTTTGAAGTCAGGATACCCTGTAAGTTAACCCTCACCTTTGTTCCTTTTCTTCCTGGACGTCCATATCCATCTGGACCAAGAAGACCCTAAGAAAATGACACAAGATCCATTGTCCTCCAGATCAACACATGGTTGATGACAACATCTGAACCTTGAATAATTCAACAATGCAATGGGGTGGGGAAGAGGGAGGGCCTAGGAGGGGATAAAGGTTTATAACTTAAAAAGACCATGACAGAAGGAAGTTTGGAGGTTTGGGTTTAGTTGTTATTTTGTTTTTGGTACTGGAGATTAAACCCAGGAGTAATTAACCTCTGAGACACCTCCCCAGCCCCTTTTTGTATTTTATTTAGAGACAGGGTCTCTCTGAGTTGCTTAGGGCATCGCTAAATTGCTGAGGCTGGCTTTGAACTCACAGTCCTCTTGCCCCAGGCTTCCGAGCTGCTGGGATACAGGCATGCACCACCACACCTGGCAGGAAGTTTGGCAGTTGTTTTAGGTATCATCTTGCTGATTTGTAAAAGCTTCAACAAGGTGCAACATCAGCAAGATGATGGCACAGTTGTAGAAGCCATGTCACTGAGCCATTGGACTAAACTCGCTTTCCTTGCAGGGCAAGAAAAACAAAGAAAGAAGCTCCAGAACTGATAAACTTCCAGGGATAAAGACATACTTTAGAGAATAATATTGGAAATAGAGGCAATGTAATGGTTACTTGCACAGGCTTATCACCCAGACAGGCCTAAATATTTTTTTATTTGTTCTAATCAATTATACATGGCAGCAGAATGCTCTTCGATTCATTGTACACAAAGGGAGCACAATTTTTCAGTTCTCTGGTACACGAAGTAGGAGCACACCATTCATGCAATCATACATGTATCTAGGGTAATAATGGGCTAAGGAACTGAACAGACACTTCTCAGAAGAAGGTATACAATCGATCAACAAATATACGAAAAATATTCAACATCTCTAGTAATTAGAGAAATGCAGATCAAAACTACTCTGACATTTCATCTCACTCCTATCAGAATGGCAGCTATCAAGAATACAAAAACAAAAAGTGTTGGTGAGGATGTGGGGGAAAAGGCACACTCATACATTGCTGATGGAACTGCAAATTGGTGCAAACAATCTGCAAAGTAGTATGGAGATTCCTTTAAAAAAAATGGAATGGAACCACCATTAGATAGATAGCTATCTATCCCAGCTATCCCATTCCTTGGACCCAAAGGACTTAAAAACAGCATACTACAGTGACACAGCCACAGCAATGTTTACAGAATCTCAATTCACAGTAGCCAAACTGTGGAACTAACCTAGACATCCTTCAATAGATGAATGGATAAAGAATCTGCGGTATATATACACAATGGAATATTACTCAGCAATAAAAGAGAATAAAATTATGGCATTTGCAGGTAAATGGATGGAGTTAGAGAATATCATGCTAAGTGAAGTAAGCCAATCCCAAAAAACCAAAGGCCGAATGTCCTCTCTGATAAGTGGATGCTAATCCATAATGGGGGTTGGGGGATAGGATGAGTGGAGGAACTTTGGATTGGACAAAGGTGAGGGAAAGGAAGGGAAGGAGGATGGGGGTAGAAAAGATGGTAGAATGAGACCTAAATTTTATTCCTGGTGSTAGGAATGGAACCCAGAGCCTTATGTGTGCCAGGCACATGCTCCACCACTGAGCCACATTCCTAGCCCCAGACCTGAATGTTTATTTCAGTGCCAATATGGTTGTATGAGTGACCCTGGGGAAGTTGCCCAACCTCTCTAAATTTTAGTTTCCTCATCTGTAAAATATAGATAATAATATCATCTCCATGGTATGGTTATTGGGAAGACTAAGAATATGCATGGAAAATCCCTAGCACGATGCTAGTACCTTCTCTGTAGAAAGTACTTAATGAATGGTAAATATGTTGTTGTTGTTATTGTTGCTACTGCCACTGTTGCTGCTGCTGTGGGTGGCAGCAGTAGAGATGGTGGCACAAGCTTTGGGCTACTTTTAACCAGGAAATTTTAATGAAGTCAAACAAAATGTTAGTTTCACCAGCTTAATTTTCAGAGTATAGAAGCTGACCATTATTTACCTCATATTTCACTTGACAGTGATCCTATTCTGTTCTTCCCCTTTTCACATTTAAGTTTAAGTCTCCTGGGCCTGTTTTTTTGCTTCCTTTCCATGCTACTATTTCAATGTAAAGAAAGGAAGGGGGGAGGGGGGTGATTAAAAAAAAGGGGGGGCTGGGGATGTGGCTCAAGCGGTAGCGCACTCGCCTGGCATGCGTGCGGCCCGGGTTCGATCCTCAGCACCACATACAAACAAAGATGTTGTGTCCGCCAAATACTAAAAAATAAATATTAAAATTCTCCCTCTCTCTCATTCTCTCTCACTCTTAAAAAAAAAAAAGAAAAAAAAAAGACATAAAGACCCTTCCTAGCCACTGGTGAAAGAAATCTCAGAAATATGAGCTGGAAGGTAGCATTACTCTTTATGATAAAAGCTGATTTCCATCAGGTGGTGAATTGAAAATAGCCACAAAATAACCACCCTATTTCACTGCCTAATCATTGCCACCACATTAATGTATCTTCAGGAGTATTCCATGCATCCTAACCTTGGGCTCAAACCATTTTAATAATAAAAGATTCTTAAGGACTACCACCAGCACAATTAAAAAAAAAAACTCCACATAATAGTTTCACCCCATGTTTTTGCAAGAAAATTTGACATAAAATCTGCAATGACATGTACAAATATGTAACAACGAATCCTACCATTATGTATAATTATAATGCACCATTAAAAAAAAACATGGGAAAAGTCTGCAACAATTATGCAGTGAAATATGATAATTTATTCTTATGTTCAGAGTAAGAACTGAGGTAAAAATACATAGACCTGCCTTGCCAGTGTTATTTGTAGAACTAAGTCTTTTATGATCTTCGGTCTGCAAACATTATTTCTATACTCTGGATGTTCGAAGACATTCTCTTAAATGTTCACAACTCTGATTGGCTGTCTTGTTTGCTGCCCTGGAAAAATGTTTCACTGGGCATCTCTGCATTCCCAAAAGACTCAGATACTTATAAAACATCTTTGTCCAACAGAAGAGGTTCATTGACACTTCCCTCTTCAACAACATGTAAGGAGGCAAAATAAATCCCAGGGCATCTTTGAATTCTTTATTTTTACAGGAGTTTGAGAATCTTTGACTATTACAATTCTCAGCAGCTATAGTGATCATGTCATATTTGTAACCCAAGTTCAATATATCAAGAACATTAGATTTTTATGTGAAACAAGAACAAATACCAAACAAGAAATTCAATCAAGAGTTCAAAACAGAGAAACTAAACTCACAGGCTGCCCTCTTGGTCCTTGTTGACCCCGTGAGCCTTTTTCTCCTGCATCACCAAGCTCTCCCTTTTATAACAAAGAGAAAAGATGAGATTAATTTTCTCCCACGAGTTTATGTAATTTTGTACTATTTTCCTCAGAAATTATTGTTACTCTTTTCAAGTCCTTTTAGCATCGCAATACAGTCTAAAGGCTTTGTTAAAGGTTTTCTCTGGCTTTGTTAAATACAGATACTTCCAAATATAGCAATGACCCTGCTACTGCATATTAACAAAACCAATTTATACATAGCATAAATTGCAGAATTTTTTTACTCCTTTGTCTTTTTCTAGACATAGGTGTGTGAACCTGTGTTTGCAGTAAATATGTATTTCTCTCTATTAATGTCTGTTTGCTGATGAACGTGACACACACACCCTTCCTATTTGTCTATATGTCTTTCCCTTTTATCCAGCTATCCAGCTATAAGGTAAAGATCAATCAATAGCTTCACCAACCACATCAGAGACATATGCTGAAAATGATCATGTAAGATTAGTATTTAAAAAAAAAAACAGGGGCTTCCCCAAGTTGCAATCAAGAAGAGTGTTCTCTGACATTTACCTTCATTCCTCTTGGCCCAGCTTTTCCTTTGGAACCATTTGGCCCTGGAGGCCCAGGATTCCCCTGCAACAACACCATGGCCAATATCACCACTAAGGACAGATGTTCCATGATTTAATAATTTTTTTAATTTATAATGGTGCATTCATTAAAATCTATACTTCTAATTTCGAATTTTTAACTATTCCAGGTCCAGTGATGTGTGATACAATACTGTCTTGTGATGCTGAAGAGCAGCAGGGAGCCACGGCTTCCAGTCAGTCATGTAATCGTGAAGGTTAACAATTGATCCTCTACAGTGTGCTGTGTCGCCAAGCTATGGTGCTTGGCAGGTTAGGTCTATTAAATGCATTTTTCACTTAATGATATTTTTACCTTCCAATGGGTTCATGGGGACGTGTAAGTCAAGGAACATCTGTTTTATTGAAATGGTCTGGAACTGACAACGTGCTCTTAAACCATCATGTAGCTTAGCCTTCAATATTCAGTACAATTAGTCAATTTTATCTTCCAACATACAAAATATACAATATAAACATTTAAGCTCTGGGCTGGGGGTTTGGGAGACAGGAGTAAGGTATACACATCTACCACATAATTAAGAATTGGAAAGGCTGGGAATATAAGCTCAGTTGGTAGAGTGCTTGCCTTGCATGCACAAGGCCCTGGGTTCAATCCCCAGCACCACAAAAAAAAATTGGAGGAAGTATCTGTATACTAGAGATGCATTATGGTTTGAATATGAAGTGTCTCCACCAAAACTCCTGTTAGTGCAGGAGTTGAGGTGAAATGATTTAGAGGTGAAATTTAGAGGTGAAATGACTGGATTATGAAAGATGTAACCTAAATCAGCCCATCCTAGTTTGAATGGACCAACTGGGTGGTAACAGAAGACAGGTGAGGCATAGCTAGAGAAGGTGGGTCACTATCTTGTTAAGTATTTTGGTCCCAACAACAAAAAGCTATCTGAACCAAAGGGGAAACATGATTCAATTAAAAGATCAGGATGAAAAAAACCTAGACTTAAACCTGATCCAAAAATAAAATACTTTCAAATGACATTTAAAATAAGACAAAAAGTTACAGGGCTAGATTTTTCCTGACAAGAGTGTTGTGATTTGGATATTCGGTGTCTCCCAAAGCTCATGTGTGAGAGAATGCAAGAAAATTTAGAGGTGAAATGATTGAGTTCTGAGAGCTTTAATCTAGTCAATGTGTTAGTCCACTGATAGGAATTAACTGGGGGATACCTGCAGGCAGGTAGGGTGTGAGTGGAGGAGGTGGGTCCCTGGGGATGTGCCTTTGGGGTTTCTATTTTGTCCCTGGTGAGGAACTCTCTCTCTGCTTCGTGGTGCCATGTCCTGAGCTGCTTTCCTCCACTACATTCTTCCACCAGAATGTTCTGCCTCGCTTCAGGCCCAGAGTGACGAAAATGTCAATGGAGACCTCTGAAACCCTGAGCACCAAATAAATGTTTCCTCTCCTAAAACTGTTCTTGTCTGGTATTTTGTTCTCAGCAGCAAAAAAAAAAAAAAAAAAAAAAGCTGACTAAAACACCAAGGGAGAGAACAAGGACAGAACCATGGCTTGGACCATCCTGGAGCTGCTATTTTGAGTCTCCAATTAGAGGCTCTCATTCCTGACTCCAATCCTGCTGCTCGGGTTTCTAGGCAATCTCAAATGCTCTCTTCCTCGGGGAGCCGCTTTGATTATCCGTCTCAGTCTGCCTGACCTTTCCATGAACCATTAGGAAACAAGGTGGGAAGCAGAACAGGCACTAGAAAGACTCAGTTCAGACTCAGAAGGCAGTTCAGCCACCCAGGGTCTGGATAGCAAGTCATTTCATCTCCCTGGGACTCAGTTTTCTTATCTATAAAAGTGAATGCTTCCTTATGTATTTATAAGGAGTAGATCAGTTATTTATACCTCTCTTATGGTATTATTATTTTTGTCTTACCCTATAGATAAATACCAGCTTGTGTCAGATACCTTTAAAGTACCCATGCCTTATGGGTTACTACATTCCCACAATATATCCATAATAGAAGAGGGTACATAGCTGATGATCAATACCCACCCATCAAATTGGCTTTTCTAGAAATTCCTGATAGCCACAGACCCCAGAACACATAGTATAGTTCCTGGTCATCCAGGAACCCTCAAGGGTATAAATCAATCATTGTTAATTGGCAGTTGTATTGTAATTATTCAGTTTTCAAACCTACCTGGGCACCGGGTAACCCTTTTTGACCAAAAGTTCCCGGGGGTCCTTGTCTTCCTCTTGGCCCCTGAACCAAAGGTGATATTAAAATTCAACCAATTTTACAGAAACATTTATATTCTGCAAAGCCAAAAAATCACCTCGGATACCTATGGAAGCACAAATCTGGGTGCCCTCACCCATCACCATCTCATTCATCAAACTTGAAGTGGGTGGTGTCTGTAAACTGCAGCACCCACAGCACATTCACTCCCAGCCCACTCAGTGTGCAATACAGGATGTGAGTCCTCAGCATCTACGTTTTTAGCAATCTCTCCTGAATCCATTGAGTGCTACAGTTTGAAACACTGATTTCATATTTTAATTCACCCAACTAACTTTAAATCCTAAAAGGGGATTAGGGGAGCAGATAGGATATTGATTCCTTTGAAAAAAAATAACCTTTTCTTGATATACACAAGGTCTAAAAATGACAGATTTTTTATAATTTTATCAAGAACCAAAGGCACACATAAGTGGCTTAATCTCATTGCCTACATCACTGAGGAGTTGCTCATTTTTTTCTCCCGTCTATTTTACTTTACTGATTTTTTCTCCAGTTTTTGTGAGAACTACTTTCTCAACAGAAGCATTGATCATGGCTTCCTTTCTCTGAAGTGAGGTATTGACCATCATCTGTTTAAATAGACCATCATAGCCACATGCTAGTGGGAAGGTGAGAATTAAGGAGAGGTTTTATCGATTTTCTTGCTCATAGCTCCCAGCATGACGTGAATCCCTTTCACCCAGAAACACAATCAAGTGGGTATAGAGGAGAAAGCAAGGAAGCAACCGTGGCAGGGGGTCCAAATAGGAATTGATCCAGTGATCAAAAAGAAAATGAAAATATATATATATATATATATATTAGTTGTTTCCCTCTGTATTTCAGATACTATTTTTCGATCATAAAGTAAACACAATCTCTAATTGTACTTTGATTACCCATTTCATTCCTTAGTTCTTTTGTCAAGTTTAAAATTAGCAGAAACTTCTAAAATGATCATTTGACACTGAAAGGATCTGTACTTATGGAGAGTGAGTCAAGATAAATGAAACTGGTTTGTTTTAAACTCCTTCCATTGAGGATACTTGGAAATAATCTGGCTTTTAAAAGAAAGATATACAAAGTGTTCCAGAAGGATCTACAGATGATAGATTTAGTTTATGATTAGAGGATTCAAAGGAACTAGTTGGAAGTTCAAATTTCCACTTATCACTGGATAGTTTACAGTCTCCCAGTAGATTGAAGTCTTTGAGGGCAAGACTTTTTGCCTTGATGGTCTAAATGTCCCATTTTCTGTCTATTGGCAGAGTACTGTGTACATGACAGACACTCAATTAACTCTGTTGATTTTTCCTGCCAAATTGAGTACAGTTTAAATGAATATTACTATTACTTGAGTTAATAGTGAAAATTAAATGAGTTAAAAATTAAATATTATTTGAGTAATCAGAATGCACAGTGTCAAAGGCAGTCATTAAGAACATCAATTTTATAACCAGATTGTCTGAGTTTGAATCCCAACTTTATAACTTATTAGCTGTGCAGCTTGGCCAGTTGACCTAACTTCCCCACCCCCTTTTCCACTTCTTCCCTATAAAACAGGGATAATAAGAAACCTGCCTAACCCCCAGTGAAGGATCAAGTGAGTTAAATTCAAGAGCTTATTGCAGCACCCAGAACATAGAGGTCCATAAATATTAGCTATCGTGGTTTAACCTTCTCATAAGAGGGGCTTTGGGAGGCCTTCAAAGGATGGTGTTCAAGGCCATTCTGATTTAATTTCCTATCAAACAATGAAATTAACATTTCATACCAAGTCCTTTAGCATTAAAACCAAGTTAAATATGGCTATACAGAGATATACAGTTGTCACAACAAAACTCAACATTTTGTACAATAACTATGTGATAATAATCATAATTTTTTTTAAAGTTCTCCGATTTAACCTGTGAACCTGGATTTCCAAGCTCTCCTTGGTAGCCCTGTTCACCAGATTCTCCACGCACACCCTGTCAAAAAATAAAAATAAAAAAGGCATCATCAGTGCTCCTGTTGAAGGCAGCCTTCCTAAAAGATGTCACTTGAGAGCCCCAAGGGAAAGACTCAAAAAAATATTAGACGGGTGGTGATCAATCCTCCTCGAGGATAGAGATGGAGACGACACATAAAGGGTTTCCATTCATGCTGAAAAAATGCAAGACCACACTCTCACTGCCTTTCCTGGTCTTTGCACGTCTCTTTTCAAAATTACAGCTAGTAATAGAAGCAAAAATACTTTCTTTAAATTACCCAAATTCCTGTTTTGTATAAAAATTGGTTCCTAAAAGCCCAGCCCTCTCTTTAAGGTATCTGGACTAAATGTTCACTGGTGTCAAGGACACTTATTCCATGCAAAGAAGTAGAATGTTGATCAAGCATGACACTCTGGGACAAAGGCACACAATACACATGGTAAAATAATAGAATATTGGCTTGAAAACTCTATGAGCCCTTGGAGCATTTAGCTAGCTCCCAAGGCCAAGGGTGAATTGCTAAAATGATTCATTTGATAACTCCCCTAAGTTATTCCCCAAATTATTATTTTTTCATTTCCACAGAAAAGATATTTTTCCAAGATTAGGAATAATTCCAATTTTGTGAATTATTCTGCCTTCTTTTTCATGCTACTCACAGAAAGACTGGCTCACTGACAGATGAACAAAGGAGCCCAAAACCTCAAACCCAGAATTCATCAATATGTGGATCAAATTACTTGCACTTCTTAAGTTTTTAAAAACTATCTGGCACTTCTATTCATCATTATTGTTATACTGTTCAGCTTTTCAAGAGCAGATTTCTAGATTTATAAGTATAAAGCAAGTTTTAAAAGGAAGATAGCTAGAAAGTTTGAACCAGGCTGCAATCTAATTTGCATGTCACATTAGTAACTTTCTTTTTTTTTTATTGGTTGTTCAAAACCTTACAAAGCTCTTGACATAACATATTTCAAACATTAGTTTCAAGTGAGTTATGAACTCCCATTTTTACCCCAAATACAGATTGCAGAATCACATCGGTTACACATTCACATTTTTACATAATGCCATACTAGTAACTGTTGTATTCTGCTACCTTTCCTATCCTCTA